TATATATATTCATATATATGTATATATATTCATATATATGTATATATATTCATATATATGTATATATATTCATATATATGTATATATATTCATATATATGTATATATATTCATATATATGTATATATATTCATATATATGTATATATATTCATATATATGTATATATATTCATATATATGTATATATATTCATATATATGTATATATATTCATATATATGTATATATATTCATATATATGTATATATATTCATATATATGTATATATATTCATATATATGTATATATATTCATATATATGTATATATATTCATATATATGTATATATATTCATATATATGTATATATATTCATATATATGTATATATATTCATATATATGTATATATATTCATATATATGTATATATATTCATATATATGTATATATATTCATATATATGTATATATATTCATATATATGTATATATATTCATATATATGTATATATATTCATATATATGTATATATATTCATATATATGTATATATATTCATATATATGTATATATATTCATATATATAAAAGTTTGGCTAAAATCACTATCCGTTACATCTCTATTGTTGCCTACTGCTTATCTAAAGCAGTGTGTTAGAGATATTTTTGTTTTTAAATAGATAAAGTGGTTTGTTTGTCATTTGTTATTAGTAAATAAGTTACATGTCATTTGTATGAAGTTTTGTTAATTTAGCTTTTTATTTTTTCTAGCTATTAATTTGGCTGGTGTCAAATGGGTAGTGCGATTGCAGTTTGGACTGTTGATTTTATTGCTTTTATCCGCACTTGACTTTGCAGTTGGTACTTTTATCCAAGTTGACTTTGGTACGATTCTACACTTATTATATGCATAGAAAAAGAATAAGAAACTTAAAACTATAGCTGCTTTTAAAAAAAAAAAACAATTTAAAAAAAGTGAGAGAAGAAATTAATAAAAATATGTATCAATTCACTTACATACGTATTCTTCTGGATATTCATGATGCTTTCCAAACATATTCCAACTTTAACGAGGCAAAAGTTTTTACTCAAAACACGAAGAGCAGAATGAAATAAAATAAATGACACAAAATTAAGAGACAGTTCGATTGTTGATAATAGTTTTGAGTTTTTTATTCTTTTTTTTTCAGTTAGAACATTACTTAAAATACTGAATATTCAACTGATTACACTCAAGTCATTATTACTTCATTTTTTTAAAAATTCCATACAAAATATTAAGTCTATTTAAAGCAAGCAACCCGCCATAGTTTGAAAATTAAAGATCCAGCAGAAGTAATTTTTGTGTCTGATTTTGTAACTCAAAATATTCTCTCTAAAAATTAATTAGTATAATTTAGTTTAGCCTCTCAAACCATTAAGATAGCATCTTATCAAAGGAAAATTTAATATCTAAATCTATTAACCCATTTTCGGCCAAAGGTGCATAAACGCACCATTTGAATATAATATTTTATTTGCCTTGTGAGGTATATTTTTCACTTACTTCATTTTTCTGCTATTTTTAAGGGTTTGGAAGTCGTCTATAAAGTTTTATTACTTTTGATTGGGGTGTAGACTTTTTGTTGAGAATTTTTTTAACAATTCTAGTTCCTTAACTCACAGCTGCCAACTCTACTGGATTTTGCCAGTTCCTCTATGATTAAAATTCTCCTGGTTTCTGTACATTTTAGAAAAATTCCTAAAATTGAGTAAGTTTCCTTAAAAAATCCCTATTGAAGTAGAATTTTTGTGCAGATTGTTGCTTGCTTGAATATTTAAATAAGTCTCACTAATACATGATAAAGTAGGCCTCGTTTATAAAATCTAGTTTACTATCTTTGATGAATTAAATGCCTATTATTATTCAAAATTGTTGATAAACATAATGCATAACATTTCAAAATCATTTAATGTGAAATCATACCTGGAAAATATTACAGTATTTTTATTTTAATGACTATAAAAATCCCTAAAATTCCTTACGTGTAAAATATTTAGTACATTATGCAACAATTATTGAAATTTATGTTATTTCGTAAAGTCTACTGGATTTTTTTCCTATCCATGTTGGCAGCTATGTTAACTTGAGACGAGACGGTTATTGACAAATTCAAATTTTGTAAAATGTATAATCATACCATTTGAGATTAATAATATGTTTTATGATGGGTTGAAATTGCAAGCTACGTAAATAAAATAAAAATGAAAGCAAATTTCATGAAAAAAATAATAATAATGCTCAACTAAATGATTTGTTGATTGATTTGGTCAATGGTGCAGATAGGCCCTATTTTATTTCTTAAAAGAACTATTTTCATGCATGAAACTTGTTTTATGCCTTAATGAATGTAATTTAAGCATTTTTCAATAAAAATAAGGCCACATTTCATACTGTTTCTATGCTTTGTCTATAATGAATTAAGGTGTTCTCTTTTTTATTTTGCTCTCTACACATAAGTGTTTTCACTATTTTACTATAGCCATGTTTGGGTGTATTGTACTTCCTTCTCGTCCAGGGGAGATTTTTCTCAGGGGGTACCCTGAAATTTCACATTTTCCCTGGTCTAAAAACTAGAAGCGAGGCATGTAATTTTTGTGTGAATATTGTAGAATTCCGCGCATCTAAAGGCCATTAGTTTGATGACTTCCAAGATTTAAAAACTTATAATCCGACAATATTTTGAAGTTTTTTCTGAATCTCGTTAATAAGACGCTTACATACATTTTCCCGCCAATTTTATTCTTTTGGTTTGGCGAATTTTCGCCATTTAGAATGTTTGGAACTGCATCGGAATCAAATATCGCGATTCTTATTCACGCGATTTTACTATCAAACATTAAATTTTGTATTTAATTGATATGAAAGCTGCACGCTGCGATTAGCATTCATACGTGTCAGAAATCGTACACCGTACTTCCTATCCACATGATTTGTAAGTCCATTATCGAGATTCGCATTTATACGTTTTTAAAGCCTAATATCACGATTCACATTCACGCGAGTTTAAAATCCAATATTGCGATTCGTATTCACATGTTTGTAATATGAAACATAGATTTTAATATTTATATGTGATTTAAAGACTACGCATTGTGATTTGTATTTATGCAATCGAAAAATTTTGCTCAGTGTTTCATATTTACGCGATTTAAAAATTCAGTGTCACAATACTATATTTTTGTGTTTTTAAAATCCAATATGGCGGTTCATATTCACACGATTTTAAAATCCAATATCTCGATTCATATTCACACTATTTTGAAATCCAATATCGTTGTTCATATTCCCACGATTTTGAAATTCAATATCACGATTTTTTAAAGATATTTTTTCTCATTACTTTGAAGGTGGGATATATTTTGCATTAGTAGGTAGTTTAATAAATGTTAATTTAAAAAATTATGTTAAATGTGAATCATGTATGAATGCATGAAATATTCCGGTTTTTTCACTTTGTGCAACAATTACCTTTAATTATCCCTAACTCTAGTAAATTGTGTTTCTTCTTTTCCCTTTTTGAAATCTAGTTCATGGAGTTGTTGGCTATGATTTGGCTAATCTGAAGAACAACACTGGTCCTGATTATAATGATGGGGAAAATTGGTTTACTGTGTTTGGAGTATTTTTTCCAGCCATGACAGGCATACTGGCTGGAATCAACATGAGTGGAGACTTGCACAATCCTTCCAAAGACATTCCAACTGGGACGCTTGCATCAGTTGGAACTAGGTAAGGGATTTGTCCTTAAATTAAAAAATATCCTTAATTTTTACTTTGTTGAACGAATGGAAACTCTGTTTTAAAATTTCTCTAGGAATTATCTAATGAATTTTTTATGCATTGGAATATCACTTTCAGAATAATAACTTTCTATGACTATTTTACTCAGTGACAATATTTTTAGTTTTGAGGCAAATGTACACGTGTAGCTAAGAAATAACATTAACTTTCTTATCTCGAATTTTATTATAAATTTTGAATGTTATTTACTTTATGTGTGGATTTTGTTTCCTTTCAGCTTTTTTATTTACATGATGTTTGTTGTGGGCTTAGGAGCAACCTGCCAACGCTGGGCTTTACATACTGATTACATGATAGCTGAAAAAGTAAATATTGAAATTTTGATATAGCTAATATCAAAAAATTATATTATGTGAAGGAATATTTAAAATGAAATTTATGTTTAATCCATTGTTTATGAAAATTGTGACATTTCCCTAATTTACTACATAGTTCCATAGTTGATCTGCCTATGTAGGGACCAAGGGTGTGCGGTATTGGTTCTGCCGTAAAGTACTCAACTTCATGTGTATTTCGTCAAACTACCAAAGCAGGGGAGGGCATTCTGATCTAGTGGAAATCAGAAAACTATTCTACTTTCTATATTATCTAATAATAATACACAGATCCCAGTAGAACACCATAATCAAGCACCACTGACCACTATTGGTCCTCGTTAAACTGTTCTACCATAAAGTGTTCAACTTCCCACGTAGGTCGTTGAACTACCAAAGCGTGGGAGCCCTCCCCTCTGCAGAGGATCAAAATTGTGGTGGTATGTCATCGGATTATCCTCGGGGATGTTTCCCAAATCGTCGCCAATAGCCCATTGTGCAGCTCAAGTGTTATGTAAATAAAACACCTAACTACCTATATTAAGTTATGATTGACTTTAGATTACTTTTTCAAATGTTTTTTTTTCTTCTCAATTATTTAACTAAGAAAACTTTTGTTGTATGGATGAAGAACCATCTAAAGCTAAGCACAGGTTGTGCTTGCAAGTCTTAATAAGACTTATAGGTTACTATCTCTACTATGTTTTTATGCCTAAGCTTAATAAGTCATGCCATTCTATTTTAATAAAATAAATCGAATGAATTGGATCACCCACGTGATTCAAATGAGTGACGACAACACAATAAAAAAGATACTGCTTTTTAGACCCACTGGAAAGAGAAAGCGGGAAAGGCCGCGGTTGAGCTGGGCTGACTCAGTGGAGTCTGATTTTCTCGCAATTAATGAAAAAAATTGGAGATCAAAGATAAATCGGAAGTCTGGCACATTAGGCTGTCTAGCCAACTATGATGATGATGATGATTCTATTTTAATGTTTTCTTGTACAGTTTAAAATATGAAGTGTATTCTTTAACATTTTGTTTATAAATTCTATTTAACTTTAGCTGAGGGCATTACAACTGAAGATAACATGGCTACCTTTACTTTTATTCATGATGTTATATTAATTTCCTTAAATCAATATATAACTCATGACTATTTAGAATTTACAAATTTAAATGCAAATCTCCATAATAAAATTTTCTTTAGTATCGAGGGTATGCGCACATTGTGTGGTAAACATAAAAAAGTAGAGGGATAAAATGGATGTTTTCAATGCTCAGTTCCAGATTTGAAATCTTGTTATTGTTTACACTAATTTACTCATTCATGAATTCGTGCTGAATATCAGTTCATTAACAAAATAGTTGATTGCTATGCTTCATAAAGTGTGAGAGAAAAAAAAAGGAATAAGAAAAAATTCAGTTTTGCAACTTTAAAAAAATGAATTCCACCAATTATTTCTTATTTAATAGTCCTATTGATGAAAAGCTTGTATCACAAATCCAAGAAATTTTGTGGTTTATTATTTCATTTCTCAAAAGTAGGAACAGCCGCTAAATTTAAATGACTATAAGGCGTTGATCAGATCTAATTTATTGAGTTGTTGAATATTAATTTGATAAAATTGTTATTTCCCTACTTTTTTTACTTGAACATTTTTCTACATCTAAAAATTCAGAATTTTATATAAAAAATAGTGTCTCAAAATAATCTGTAAAGCTTTAATTTGTACTGGTCGCTATGCATGAAATAAATTCGGTTTCCTGCACATGTCTTTGCAACAAAGAGGGTTTTTACGTTATTTGGGTATGAAAAGTCAAACAGATAGTCTAATTTTTCCTCGGGAGAATGCTATCGTTTTTTTTCTTTCCAATTCCAACTATTAGTTCACACTCTCCCTATATCTTGTTCAAATTTTCAAGCACTAATAAAATACTTTTTATTCAGCCACTGAAGTTCGAATACGTTTTTTTGAACTTGTAGTGGATTCAGTTTTCTCAGCAATTAATTCATTAATTAAATAGCGAAGAACGAAATGGAATTTTCTGATTGGTTAAGCGTTTGTCATTGTTTTAAATGTTACTACAGTCAAACCCCGCTATAGTGAACAGTGTTTATAGTGAACTCCCGGATATAGTAAACGAAATGTTAGGTCCCGTTCTTTGCTATACACGTATAATGTTATTTTTTGTGGATATAGTGAACCAAAAAAGTGAGGAAGTTGGATATAATGAACTTTTTTCTGTCTTCAGCTGATTTTTTTCTTCATTTTTTTTTTTGTAATAATTCTGAAATTTTTACTTTAAAATAAATACATATACCGGTTTTTAAAACCATCTATAGAGGGGAATTTAGCGATAAGCTTCTTTTATCTCACTTTCCCATTCCTAAACAAACCAAGCAGATATTTCCAACCCTAGCAGATAGTGCACGTGTAAGGTGTCAGTGGGATCAATATGAATTTTCTGTCAGGATTGCTCATCAGCTAAAGATTNACATTTGGACAAGAGCACATTGACTTATAAACCAGAAGTGCAGAGTTCGTGCCACTGGTACGTAAATACTTGTCTTCCCAGAATAAATATACGTTTATGAATTTATGTTCTATAAAGAAACTGATATTAAGTCAATTATAAAAAAAATTCACAAATTTTACATACTCAATTAGGTATGTATGATTTGCGTATTAAGAACTGTTTTTTCTTCGACCCCCAATTGACCCTTCCGATTCGAATCGACCCCCATTCGACCGCCTGGCTCAGATCGACCCCCGCTTTTGCTACATAGACCCCTGGGGGTCTATATAGACCACTTTGGCGACCTCTGGTGTAGAGTATCTTAAAGTAAACGTAGTTATTCAATGATGTAATATAAGCCTAGTTAAGGGGACAGAAATCTAATTACTTGCTCTCAAACTAATAGCTCCCAATATCATATTAATTTTACAAATTTTTTACATTATTATGTACAGTAGGGAACCGATTATCCGGAACGATCGGGACCATCGCTATTCCGGATAACTGATTTTTCCGGTTTTCTGAATCGCTACAAAAAGTCGTTTTTTTTTTATTGTTAAACCCAACTAAAAAAAAAAAAAATATTTGGAAATAATCTTGAAAAAACGAAGTAATACACTAATGATTATTTCCAAAATGATGCTAGGGTAAACATCTTTCAAAAAAGAAAAAAAAATCCTAAAATCTTATGAGGAAAAAAAATTTTTTCTTTTAAAATAGCGGGAAAATGTATTGAATTTCGTTCCGGTTTTTTGGTTTTCCGGTTTTCTGATTTCCGGATAACGGGTTCTGTGCTGTATTTAATAAAATTTAACTAAAATAAAAATTTTCTTAGTTGACCTAAGTAGGAAATGACTAAAAAAAAAAATATTGTATTGCTTGTTTATTTTTTATTTTCATGTTTACCAATTTGTGGTACCTAAAAGTTGTTTGATTAGAGTTAATCTATAATGTAGGTGTCTGCCATTGGTGTTCTCTTCTTAGCTGGTCTATATATATCTGCAATGTCTGCCTGTCTGGGCGCTCTCTATGCTACACCCAGGATTATTCAAAGTATGGCCAATGAGAATGTCATACCACTCTTAAGATTCTTGGGCAAAGGTGTATGTATCTCTTTCTTCATGAATTCTGTTCTGTGAATTATCTTTGAAGTTATACACACTTGTTTAAAAAATGAAATCAAAATTTTGAATTGTAATATTTTTTTTTTTTTAAATGTATCAATTAAAATTTAGAATATTAGTATTTTTTTTAGTTCACACTTCGACGTAAAGATCTTATTACAAATTTTTTTTAATGGACCAACAAAACATTGATTGATAAAATTTGAATCAACTAAATTATCTTTTTAAAATACAGTAATAGCATTGCAATTAATTTTTAGTCAGAATTCGCTGTGTATACAGTAATTTTTATTTAAACAGAGTATATATTTATAAAATACAGTGAAATTTCTTTAATTCTAGTATGCATAACTTAAAATATTAGCTAAATTGAAGTTTCAGTTATTTCTCTAGAATTTCTTATTCATACCAATGTTAAAAATTATTTTTTAATTCAAAATCCCCCCCCCCCCCATAGTTTCCGTTACTTCAAACTCTGATCTAGTGGAAATCCGAAAACTATTCTATTTTCTATAACATCTTTTTCCTGACAATTTAATAATTTTACAATCAAAGATTTTATTATTATTTAATATATAAATTGAACCATTTTATAATTATTGCACCATTTTATATTTTATAATTAATTTCCATTTATTGAACCATTTTATATTTTATAACTAATGTCTTTAATTCACATATGAATAACAAAATATCCATATTAACTAATTTGAAGTGGCAGTTATTTCTCTAGAATTTCTTATTCCTACCAATGTTAAAAATTCTTTTTTAATTCAAAATCCCCCCCATAGTATTTGTTACTTTAAACTCTGATCTAGTGGAAATTAGAAAACTAACTTTGTATGATATCTTTTTCCTGGCAATTTAATAAATTTACAATTGAAGATTTCATTATTAATATAAAATTAAGCTATTTTACAATTATTGCACAACTTTTGAAGGGTTACAAATAAAGTGCATTAAGAAAGTGTTCATGCTTAAAGTATTTTTATGAATTACTAATTTATTATAGTATTATTCCCTTTGTAGATCATGTTTGAAATTAAGTTGTTTTAAGTTAATTTTCCAACTTGCGCCAACAGACCTTTAATGTCGCTCTATTTAATCAAATTAAAAATTTATGTTTTAATTTCTTCCTTAATTTTTTTAATATTTTTGTTAAAATTTTGACTAAGTGCTTGAAACAATTACTTCTTTTTTTCCTTTCATAATAAAAATTAGTAAAAAGCTTCATGTGTTTATGGCATCCAAAACATGTTGCTTCTCGTCAGAAGGAGACAAGTATGATAAAAATTATGAAACTGGTCAGAAACTAGAAAGAACCAGGTAACAAACGATTTAATAAAAGTGAAATTGAGTTTATTTCTTGCTTCTATTTTCTTGTGATAATTTGTTTCCTGTTACAAAGTGCTTGAAAAAATTTATTTTTACAATTTTATCAAGAATTATAAAATGAATTCATTTCAAATAAAATTTTAATATAAATTTACTGTCTTCTATTGTAGCATTCAAATAAAATTTCTCTAATGATAATAATTTTTTTTCCATTTGATTTCAGAAAGGACCCAACAAAGTACCCATATACTCACTTATACTTTTTGCTAGTGTTACCTTTATATTTGTTCTGATTGGAAGCATCAATACCTTGGCGCCAATAGTCACAATTCCATTTCTTTTCACTTATGCCTCTGTTGAGTATGCATATTTCTCCCTTGCCATGAGTTTTGATATTCAAAGAAAACGAGAAGAGAGATACAGCGAGCAAAAGGTTCAGAGTCCATCTTTTGTAGTGGATTTAAACCATAAGCGAGCTTATGGTTCAGCCAAGGTAAAACAAATATGGTTGCTTACTGTTTAAATTTTTTGAATGAAATCTGTTTTGTTTCGCTATTTATGGCATTTTTTTATCATAAATTCTAAATTATATTCACTCATACGTGCAGAGATGATTGTGCTCCAGAAAAAATCCGGATTTCCGGATTTTTCGGCAAACGCAATCCGGAAATCCGAGGTCCGAAAGTTTCAAGAAATTTTTTATCACATTTATGTATTAAAAAAAATTTTTTGTTTTATTTAGAAATATAAGAACTCGAATTTATACTTGGCATCTCTCTCATTTGTAAATATTTTTTCTAGTAGAATAATAAATGTGATTAGAGATAAAAGTAAACTTGTGCATAATTATTAATTTAAATTATGCTGCATATAATTTATTTAGAATTTCATGTTTTGAAAATATCAATAATTTAAATTTATAAAGACGTTAATTTTTTGCAATACGTAATTAATGATTTTATTGGAGAAATTTTCAGGGGTTTTGAGTTGGGCTCACAATCACGTCTGTACATGCCAAGTCTCCTGTTTTTTTAACGAAGACTCCTGTATTTTACGACTATCTCCTGTATACCCACATATTCTCAAATTTCTTCATATTTGTGGAAACTTAAAAAAACAAAACAAAAAATTGGCGATAAAATATCCACTGATGACAAAAATACTTCTCCTATTCCTCAATAGATGGTGCTATGGCCAGTACTGCAGTATGTTGAGTGTTAATAGTTTAAGTAGAGCTGCAATGGCTCAGGGGATAGAGCTTTTGCCTTCCAATGAGGTGGGCCGGGGTTCGATCCCAGCAATGGCTGGTAGATACGAATTCCGCATCCAGCTTGCACCAACCCCATTCAAAGACACCTCCTTTACCTGGAATCGGAAAGAAAAAAATAAGGACAAAAAATTGTAAATGAGGAAAGAGAAAGAGCTGTGGCTTTGAACTGTTGTGTAAAAATAACTGCTATAGTAAACCAATAATGTACAATAAATAATTCAAGAAAAATACCTAAAAATTTATTTCTCATTACAGGTTTTTAGCAAGTTATATATTCCAAGTATATGTTAATAGTTAAAAACTAAATCAAAATAATAATAACATAATATATACTCTAAACAAAAATACTGTTTTAAATTATTACAACAAAATAAATTTTCAAAGTAAGTCAAATTTTACATTATATAGTTTATTAGCATTTAAAAATATTTAGCAAAGCTATATAAAAATATTTAAAAATATTTAAAGTGTTGCTTTAAGTTTGATAATAGAAGTAGAACAGAAGTCATACTTGAAACTGCTAAAGCACTATCAGCTGCACAGGAAAGCTGTACTATCTTTTCTCCCTCAATATCTCCTTTCAACATGGCGGGAGTGAATTGGTTGTTATAATTACCCAGACCTTAAATAAAACATTTAAACAATATTTACAATACAAGTGTGACAATAATTACAAAAAACAACATTAATAGTGCACATTTTTATAAACACTAACTTAGATGTGGCCAATAGGTGGCTGCATAGATTTTTAAAATAAAAAATGATAAAAAGGACTTCTTTATAGTATTAATAAGCCGTGATGGCTCAGGGAATAGAGAGTTCACCTTCCAATGAGGTGAACCTGGTTCGAATGCCGGCGATGGTTGATTGATATAAATTCAGCATCCGACTTGCACCGACCACAGTGCTGACGTGAATTATCCTCAGTAGTAGACGAATCATGGGTTGGAGTCCCCTTACCCTCAGGCTAACTGTGGAAGGTTTTCGTGGTCTTCCTCTCCAAATAACGCAAATGCGAGTTAGTTCCATCAAAAAATCCTCCACGAACGCAAATTTCTCCCAATACTTGATCCAGGAGTTCCCTTGTCTTCTGGATTGGATTCAAAATTACAAGGCTGAGTTGAACATAAGTAGTGAACAAATGTGGGTTAGTTCCATCAAAAAATCCTCNTACTCTGAACAAAAATACTGTTTTAAATTATTACAACAAAATAAATTTTTAAAGTAAGTCAAATTTTACATTATAGTTTATTAGCATTTAAAATTATTTAGCAAAGCAAAATACAATTACTTGAATTAAAGTGTTGCTTTAAGTTTGATAATAGTAGAAGTAGAATAGAAGTCATACTTGAAACTGCTAAAGCACAATCAGCTGCACAGGAGAGCTGTACTATCTTTTCCCCCTCAATATCTCCTTTCAACATGGCGGGAGTGAATTGGTTGTTATAATTACCCAAACCTTAAATTAAACATTTAAACAACATTTAAAATACAAATTAAACAATAATTACAAATAACAACATTAATGGTGCACATTTTTATAAACACAAACTTAGATGTGGCCAATAGGCGGTTGTATAGATTTTTAAAATAAAAAATGATAAATAGGACTTCTTTATAACTTCAATAAGCCGTGATGGCTCAGGGAATAGAGAGTTCACCTTCCAATGAGGTGAACCTGGTTCGAATGCCGGCGATGGTTGATTGATATAAATTCAGCATCCGACTTGCACCGACCACAGTGCTGACGTGAATTATCCTCAGTAGTAGACGAATCATGGGTTAGAGTCCCCTTACCCTCAGGCTAACCGTGGAAGGTTTTTGTGGTCTTCCTCTCCATATAACGCAAATATGGGTTAGTTCCATCAAAAAATCCTCCACGAACGCACATTTCTCCCAATACTTGATCCAGGAGTTCCCTTGTCTTCTGGATTGGATTCAAAATTACAAGGCTACTGAGTTGAACGTTAGTAGTCGTGAACCAAAAAATTGGGTTAGCTGTTCAACATCGGTTATAAAATAAATAAAAAATAGTTTAAGTAAGAGCCGTGGTCGATCAAAGCGACGCAACGGCTGGTTGATTCGAATTCCGCACTCGGCTCGCACCGACCACAGTGCTGACGTGAAATATACTCAGTGGTTGACGAATCATGGGTATGAGTCCCCTTGCTGTCAGACTACCCCTGGAAAGTTCTCGTGGTCTTCCTCTCCATGCAACGCAAATGCAGGCTAGTTCCATCACAAATGTCTCCATGAAGGCAGATTTCTCCCAATACTTGATCCAGGAGTTCCCTTGTCTTCTGGATTGGGTTCAAAATTATAAGGCTACAGAGTTGAACATTAGTAGTCGTGAACCCCAAAAAAGCTGTTAAACGTATAAAAGAAAATATTAAAAAAAAGTAGTTTAAGTAATTACAAATGGTTTTAAAAAATCTTCTTTAGATAAAGATTCATATACATATTTTTTAGTTTGCTAAATGTAAGTGCTTATATGCATCATGTATCAAAACTTAACTCTTAGCCTAAAAAATGTCGCTAGTGAAATCTCCGTTATTTTATTTCTCCAATATTGGCAGGTATGTTCACTTTATTTTCACCTTACAATTTGATTTATTTACACACAGTTTTTAACTTTATTTATAAATAGGCTTGTAATAAAAATGAAGAAATGCATTTTGTTATTAAAAGTGGCTTAGTGTGAGTGAGTTAAATAATTTTTAGACAATTCTTTTTTACTTTAGACTGATGCTAGGACAAATTTTAGTGATTGCTTGCATTTCATTGGTTAGAAATTCTGTACCAAAATATTTTGTAAATGTGAGATTTATTTTTAATCTGAGGAATTTGGACTCACAAAATTTTGTCCCATATGATACTTTGTTATAAAATCTGTTTTAAACTAAACTCAGTGGTGCAACAGTCCATAGAGGGCCAAGGCCTACTGTGCCCATCTCAATTTTCTTGACCTTGGGCTCTGGGGAGCCAGAGCAGATGTTCCATTTAGGTGTTCCCCAGTGTTTAGTTCCCAAGCATGCTTGGTACTGATTTTATCCACCCACTGACAGGATGAAAGGCTGAGTCAACCTTGCCCAGCTCGAGGATCAAACCCAGGACCTGTGGCAGGAGTGTGCGAAGCTTTACCACTCAGTTACCGGAGAATCTGTTTTGGGGTGCTTAAATATGGCATCATACAGTTGCATTTTGTACATTTTAGTTTTTTTTACAAACATAAATTTTCAAAATAAAGAATTATTTCATTGGAAAAACCTATAGAAATACATATATAGGACATTTTTTAACCGATTTGTAGGTTGTCTGTAGAATTTGTTTACCTGGCCAATCAATTCCCTGGTTTATGTTAATTACTCAAGCAAACATTGTTAAATCTTTTTCATTAGTTAAACAAGTTTTATTTTGAAATTTTTGTCTGCAAAAAGTATTGTTAAGTAAAATTAGGATTTTTTCTCTTTTTTTTATTATTGTGAATTGTTGTTTTTAGACTGATGCCGACTTAGACGAACTGTTTCCAGAGCGTGTGCCGCATCATAAACGTGGATTAGTTCGAGAAGGGAGTAGCATGAGCCTGAGCCCTACGGACTCTCCTTTAACATCTCCCGATGAGCACAGTTCTGTCCGTAGTGTTGATAGTCTAAATTCTCAAATTTGTGTTACGCAACCTGCAGCAAAAACTCCAGGTGAAGGTAATCATATTTTCATTTGTAAACACTTTATGCTTACTTACAAATTGTCACAAGTGTTCTAGAGTGCAGCTCCCTTTAACACTTGTAATGTATTGATATACATTCGTTGGACGCTTTAGTAGCACTTCCTTTGACAATAATTATAATAAATACAGAAATTATAAATGCACCCCTTTTATGTTGTTTAGTTTACTCTATGAGTACTTTGCAATAATCGTAATTCATATTTCACTCTCATTATATAATTTTAACTTTTATATATTTTGGAAATTGAGATTGATTATACAAAGAAATTAATTTAGGGTTTTGCTTAAATTTAAATTGATTTCTTAGACCATTTTTTTGTGGAGTAGTAGGTGGGTGGGATTCTTCAAATATTACTTACTTTAAAGAACTGTTCATAAACATGAACTTCTGTGATTATAAATGACCAAATTTATAATATTGTGTTCTACAAAGAAACTTTATAATTTAGAATATTTTTAATAAGAAATGATTTTTCGATGCGAAACAATATTTTTAACAAGAATAAGAAGTAGTTAATGAGAAACTTTATAATATTTTTTACTTTATAAAAAATGGTTGAATGAACATATGACACACAAGATAAAATAGTGCCCCAATGTCAGCCTCTCTTCCTGACCTCACACTAACCTTTACTGTTAGCCATGTTTATGTATATGAGCAAAGCCATTCTCTCGAATTTTTTTTCTTTTTTGCATTTGCAGCAGATCACCGAAGTCAAGCATCGCTGGCTGCGGTCAGTGTGCGGGTGGGTGACCACTTGGATCAGTCTTTGTAAGGACCGAGGGTGTGCGGGATTGGTCCTTGTTAAAACTGTTCAACTGTAAAGTGCTCGACTTCGCATGCAGGTCGTTGGGCTACCGAAGCGGGGGTGCCATCTCCTCTGCAGAGGATCAAAATTGTGATGACGTGTCTTTGGATCATCCTCAGGGATGTTTCCCAGACCGTCACCAATAGCCCATTGAAAAGCTTTAGTGCAACATAAATGAACAACAGCATTTTCTGAACTTATCAGCAAATTATAGGTGGCAAAACAGCTTCCTATAGACATTTAAAAACTGATTTTACGTGGTGGAAAATATACTTCCCATCACCTTATAAAGGGGGTTAAATAACGTAATTTGTTATTTGTTCCACCGCTTCTGCAGCTGTTATTCAATCCTAATAATTTTTTGGGGAATGTAATGTAAAGAAATGTGTAAATAGACTGGCTGTTTACTTAGCTTATGTTTATATTGTTTAATTGTATTAAGAATATTTGTAAATTTCCTTGTTTATGTCTTAAAAATATTTATTAATATTTTTATTTATCTATATTTTAAATATTAAATATTTCTCTTGTTAACATATATTAAGTATTCAGTTCAGTTGCTTTATTTTTTTCCCATTAGTATCCTTTTAAGTATTTATCAATGAAGTTATCTGTATTAAGAAATTTATCAGTATTTTTTTAAATATTTTAGCTGAATATTATCGAAATGAAATAACAAGCAAACAAAAGAGATGGTATACTATTTTTTGTAACAGATGGCTTGCATTATTTGGGGTGATTATTAATTATTATTTCTTTCGGCAGTTAAGTTATAGTATATTAAAATAATATGTGAAATCTATTCAACACATATTTTTTATTTTCTGTTATAGGCTTGTGTGAAGATAGCCATGATGTTTTTAGTTCAGTGGATATATGCTTTCGCTGCGTTTGCAGTATTGTTACTTTTGTGGTTTTACATTGGGCAGGTTAATCCTGGAAATTTTCGTGGTATTTATTTTATATTAAATTTTTGCACTAAAAACCTTAATGTCGAATTAATTTTTGTTTTTTATTTATATATATTTTTTTTTTCAGGTATAGCAGAATTTAGACTATTTCCTTGGCTAAAAAACTTGTTCTACCTATGCTTGGGGTATTTTTTTTTTTTACTATTTTGTAAACTTTATTTGAAATGATAAATATATATATTATTTCTGTTGTTTTTATTAATATTTCATAGTAGTATTTAAATAATATTTTTTTACTGCAAATTAGAACAAGTTCTTTTTTTTAAATTTTGAAAATGTTTTTTTTTTGGTTTTTGTTTATTGCAAAACATTAAGCTAAATCTAATAACTGAATCTAAATAATAAATCTGAATAATAATTCCAATAAATCTAAAGAGTAAAAAACAAGGGTCAGTGATATCTATAGTCTCAGATACAAAATTTTTTATTCAATATTAAGTCATAAGTAATTAGTAATTGTTATAAGTTATTAGTAATTATAGTTTCTGTTCAATATTAAGTTATTTTATTCAATATTAATTTATTTTAAATCAATATCTTGCTTTAGGCAATTTTAAATTTTATTAAAAATGGGAGACACATTTCTTGTAGAAAAAAGGTTTTAATAATCATTTTTAAATTTAAAAATATGATGACGCATAAATTGTACAGGGTGGCCACCCACCTGGAAAACCTGGAATTATCAGGGAATTTTTTTTATACTGGAAAAAACCTGGAAATATCAGGGAAATTTGAATAAAAACCCGGAAAAATCAGGGAATTTTAAAGAAAAGCTGGAAATTTTTTCTTTGATAATTTTTTTTAATTTCACTATTTTAAATTATTTACTAATTTTCGTAATTTAAATTATTTCATCCATTCTACCCACTTTTTTCAAGCGGAAATGTATCGCCAAACAGTTGAAATATCATCAACTTGGCGATACTTTGCTTGCATCAAAATTTGCTCCATTACAGCTTTGTTAAACTAGAATGCCCCATAAAATTCTCCCACGGTTGCTAAACGAATGTAGAAACCTTTGAACGCTATGGGACCATGCAATTTAGGAAAGATTCTGGGGATTAGGATGTTAGCTTCTGTTTTTAAATTCTGTCCTTGGGCTGAATCCATTTAAGTTTGTTCCGATACTTTGGTGGCTGGGCTCGAAAAACTGCCCGTCCTCGGCGGTCAAAAATTCCTCGCGGGCAGCTAATTTCTCGAATCCGACGTCCGCACGGACGGCCATTTTCCCATTAATGTTCGTGATACATTTTCAATTTTTGTTATCTTACAAGAGTCTTATTGAGCCTCACTTCTAAAATGACCCTCTAATCTAGAAATCCCGTTAATTCTTTTATTATTGAATAATGTAATCTTAGTAACTACGAATTCATTGTGCAATTTACATAAATGCTTGTAATAAATAAGAGAAAATTAAATTCTCATTTATTTAAAAGCTACAGGTCAAAGGAGGACAGGTACATTGTTGGACAGGCCGTCCTCGGGGACGGGTAAAGTTTCTGAGTTTTTTCTAGCCCTGTTTGGTGGTTTGGTTTTTCTATTTTGACAAAATGTTTTTGTATTTTTAACTTTATAAAATTCTCCAAAAATTAGTTGATTATAATTTAATGATAATAAATTTTATCTTGCACTCTTTTTCTGAAAGCTTTTCTACTCCCATTCAAAGAAATCTGTGAATTATTTTTTCTCAGCAAACCTTGTATTCACAAATTTTTACAATCACACATATTTTTACAATCGCTATCAGCAATGTTTGTCGACAAATCGTTACAATTGTTGCATTAATAATGCTAATTTTTTTTATTTCATTTTAACCTTTTATAACATATTTTAATTTAAAAAGAAAAAGTTTTTTTAAGAACCAACTGTATATTAATATTTAATTTAGTCTTTTGTTGGTCAATATATGATTTTTGATTCAAAATTTTGTACCAAAACATTAAAAAATAAACAAAAAAATATCTTGCCAAATTGTCAAAATGAATTATTTTTTTCAAGATGATATGTTAAAAAAATAACATTTTGAGTAAAAATTTTTATAATATAGACACTTTTCTTGTACACATCCTACACTTTATAAGAAAGAAGAAGCAAAAACCTGGAAATTTTAAGATTTTTATCCGGAAAAATCAGGGAAATTTGAAATCTGATTTGAGTGGCCACCTTGTTGTATGTTTTTTTACCATTTTCGTTACTTTCCTAATTTAATAACATGTGTTTTTACATTAAACTATGCAGCTAGATCCCTTTTTTTATTGTTTTTGTCTTGCATGTGAAGAAAACCAAAATTACCACAGATTAACAATGCTTACCCCATGTCCATATGTACAGTGCACAAAATAGAAAAGATATCACCCTAAATAACTTTTGTTCTAATGATCGGATTTTCACGTACTCTGTGTCAATCTTAATGGTTCCTGAGAGTAACTTCAAATATGATAATTAATCAATATTAACTATTAATAAAGTTGAAATCTGACACAAAAACTCACTTTCTCTGAAAATATATATATGTTTTTTTACATATTTGAATTCCTAACGCGCAAAATAGGGGAGGATAAGCAAAATTTCGAGAAGATTAGATCATAAATTGAGGGTTTAGGAAGCTATTTATATTTGGCAATAACTTTCTTTCTAATGATGTGATTTTCACGTACTGAGTGTCAATCTTAATGGTTCCTGGGAGTAACTTCAAATATGCTAATTAATTAGTGTTAACTATTAATTATTGATTAAAAAAACTCAATATATTTCATATCTAATTATAAGGCAAAAAGAAAACGATATAATAAAAGAAAAACTTGTTAATCAAATTAAATAGAAACAACACTCGAAAATTACCAAACGGAAACGATAGTTTAAAAAGGCACTAACGTAAATATTAAAACCCCGAGCAAAGCAGGATATTTTATAATATCAGTTGAATTTTTAAAAAAAAATTAATCTTAAAACAAACTGGAATTCAAATAATGATATTCTTATTAGCGGAGCAGGATAAAGCGAAGAATTTTGCTGCTTTGTTGACGATTGAGAATTTTAACATGAGCTCTGGGTGGCTTAAAAAGTTTAAAATTAGACATAACATCATTTTTTGAACTCTCCATGGGGAATAAAAAAGTCTCTAACAAAATATATGAAAAGTGGATTAATGAAACTTACCCATTTTGTTTCAAGGATACTGTGAAAATGTTTTCAATATTGATGAAATAGGTCTGTTTTTCAAATGTCTTCCTAAGAAGACAATCATGTTCAAAGTTGAAAATTACTCAAGAAACAAAATGAACAAGGAGTGCTTGATAGTCTTAGTCAAAGGCAATGCTTCAGGTACTGGAAAATTGCCTTTGCTTGTGATTGGAAAGTATCAAAAAACCTTTTGTTTAAAACATGGGAAAACTTTTCCTCTGGATAAGAGCAACTTTTTTTTAATGATTTTATGTGGAAATTAAAATATTTCAAGTTAAAAGACAAAAAAGTGGTACTTTTTGCTGATAAACTTAATGCTTAGAGTAATCTGTATAATTTGAAAGCAAAGTTGCAATTTCTGTTTTAAAGACTAGAGAGACATTACAGCTGATGGATCAGGACATCATAAAACTAAGTCTAACATAACTTGTCTAACATGACTAACTAAGTCTAACATAACTTGTCTTGACTAAGTCATCATAAACTTGTCTAACTTTTTAGACAAACAAGTCTAGAAAACTATAAAAGATATTGAGGGCAATGTCCCAATTAAAATTGATGTAGAAGCCATGCAACTGGTTTCCTGTGCTTGGAATAATGATGTAAGTGAAATGACAATTAAAAAGTTTGTTTCCCCCGAAAATTTGGATTTTTTAAAGAACAATAAGAGAGAGAGCTTGTGAAAGTAGATGGACTTAACGAAGTAGAATGTAAGTGCAGATTTTATGAACTTTGAGGAAGATGCATTAAGAAACAAAAAATGCAAACTAAAGTCAAAGTTTTTCTTTAATCCTCTCTGATTCAGAGTTATCGGGAATCGAGTGTCTATGGTCACTTATGTACCAATGTATTTGGTTAACTATGCATATTTAAGTATGTTGTAATGAGATACTAATTAATAGAGTTATTTAATTACACATAATTAAAAATTACCCTTATACAATAACTTTTTTTAGACAGTTTTAATTTAATTTTTAAAATTTTTGGTCACTATTATTTAGAATGCACTGATTTCAAGAGTTATAATTTTAAATACATTTATTTTTAAAATACACATTTTGTGTCACATTTTTATAAGCTTTAATGAAAAATTAAATTTCTTATTATTGTGAACATATTTTATTATTTCAATTGAGATGTGTTCATTTGAGAAATTCATTTATTTTAGCAAATTCAAATAATTTCTGTTTATAATTAAATTTTTGAATGAATATTGCATAAAATGATATGAAGATTTATCTTTTCAAATGCCATTTTTTAATTAGTATTTTGTTCACTTTTTTTTAACATAAAAATTTAAATTTGCGTTTTTTTTCCCCCGACAATTTAATCAAATGTTTTTGAAAGTATTTCAAGTAACATTTGTTCTTAACTTTATTCTTGATCCGATTTTTTTTTAGATAAATTAAAATTATTTTTAAAAAATTAAAATCATTTTGAAATAACTTGAAATGTAAGAATTTCTATTATTAGGTATCAATCCCTTAATTTTCCAATGTTTTATTTATTTGTTTATTTTAATTTGGTGCATAAGCTTTGTTTTGTATATACAAAACTGTACATACAAAGCTGTATATATGAAAAAATATATATATAAGGTTTTGTATACACAAAATTTTATATATACAAAAGTTATATTTTGCATTTACATAAGTTTTGTATTACAGTTTTGTATGTACAAAAATTACCAAAATTTCTAACATAAAAATTTAATGGTCTTGTGTCTCCTCCTACTGAATCTAATGTGATTTTTAAATTCCTAGATGTAAAATAATTAACTACGATCAAATTGTCGTGGCTCCAATTTTGCCTGAAATGGAAGTAAAAGAAGCCCAATTAACTGAAGACAATGCAGATTTTGCTTCTAGAAAGAGATACCACCACTCAAAGACCATTGAGAGTGTTCCTCCTGCGGATGGTTTACAAAATGATTAACTACAATCCTAATGCATACGAGATGTTTACTTACAAATTGGTAAGTTATTTCGCCTGTATGTAAGTAATTAAAAATATTCCGAAATGAGAACAGAAAAATCGGGAGTTTTTCTTCCTTTCCGATGAACAAGAAAAGTATCTTTAGAATATAATTCTGCAGAAAAAAAAATATTTACTTTTGTATTCCTCTGTGTTTCTTTCTTTCCTCTGTTTTTTAAATTTAAAATCTGTAAATATGATTCTGCAGAGTATAACAGTTTTGGTTATGCCAATCATTTCAATTAATATTATTATAATGCTTTTTTAAATTTATTGTTGTGTTTTTGTCAGAGAAAATTTTGTATTTAGTCATGGAAAGTCATGAATTTGAAAATCTGAAATGTAGCAGATACCCTGTAATAAGCACTGTCCAATCTCCACAAGAAAAACTCTGCAGAATTGCCATAAGTTGGCACAAAGGGGAAAAAGGGATACATTTTAATATGTTTTCAACAGACTTAAAGACTGCTGTACAGACTTACTACTACTGTACTAAAGTGAGACAATGAGTTTCCAAATTGGCAGCCACTAACCTGTCATCTGCTTGAGTTTTTTTTCTTCTTTTATTTTATTTTATTTCAAATTTGCTTGCACCTGTGTTCTATATTTAAAAATACAATTTATCTTATAATTTACACGAAGTATCATCTCATTTCAGATGACTAGTCTTTGCTGGCAAAGATTGAAGATTGAAAAAAAAATATTTTTGTTCGCATACTACTTAATTTTTTTTTTTATTACAGTAGAAAGTCTTGTATAAGGAATCATCAGGAATATAATTTTTTTTAAATAATCAATTGTGACCAAAGAATTTTTCCAAATATATATGTATATATATATTATTTTATATTGAATGAATATGTTATAAAATTAAGTTTATACAATTATGAAATGATATTTACTCAATTTTATTACCAGATGATATTTCATGAAACATTGATATTTTTTATACATTGTTATTGTAATAACAATATATTTAAATAAATATTTTCACAATACGACATTAATATCATGTCTCACGATAAATATTGAATGTAAAAATATTATCGAAATGATAAAAACTAAAGAGGAGCACAAAATTGACAATGTTTCAAGCAAATCTTTAATTTTTGTTGCCTACATCTATTTTAGCTCAGATTTCAGCTCTAGTTAATTTACAGTCATGGAGATAATTTTTCAATTTATTAAAAAAAAAACGGAAGAAAATTCTTTGTTTATTTTTGGTTTGATTTTTGGAAAGTGATATAGAAATGAACCTTTCCAGAAAAAGACATCCAAATACTGGACTTTCTGCTGTATGTGTTAATTTTCTACCCTTGCTGCTTTCATATACTCTATTCTTTTATTCATATATGGTGTTTATTTATTGCATTTGTATGCTGTTTTTAGCTTCCTTTATCAAATTGTTTTATTTACCCAATTATTTAAAAAAAAAGTGATATTTTTTCTACATTATGCTTGTTTTTGAAACTTTAGAACTTGGGCCTCGAGAATTACTTTTTGCTGAACATAATGTGCCAAATAAAAACTAATTGCTGATACTTCTTTAAAGTTTTGCAATTAATTATTTTGTTTGTTTCTACTATGTTTGTTAATTATTTAGAAACCTATAACATAACATAGAAGCTTATTTGGCTCATTTTTCTTGTAAATAAATCAATGTTAATTTTTCAACTTACTAATGATTATTATAGATGTAAGTTTAATTTTTTTAAATTGTATGCATTGTTCGACTTATTTTCTCTCTATTAATTTCTAATATAATATCATAATTTATTATTTTCCTTTTTATGTTTAAGTTCTTATTCTTAAATATGAATAGATAATCATTGAAATGCAGGGGTGGTCACGGAACAAAGAAAGCCGAAAGTCTGGAAATTTTTATCAATTTAAAAGTTTAATTGATGTTCCAAAAAAATTTGGAAAACGATATTAATTTGCGGTACTAAAAATATTATTGTACAATTAAATTTATGAATAATTAAATATCAATTACCTTAATACAATATTTAAAAAAAAAGTTAAATTATTTTCTGATACTTGTCCTGATATATGTCCTAATAAATATAGATATCAGCTAAAAAAGGATTTTTTTTTGCTTTATTATTACATCTGTGTTTATAAGATTAAATTGAAATTAGCAAAAGCATAATGAATGTTATCATAAATAGTAGCAGTACAAAAGAAAATATAATGTATGTACTATAAATTACATCTCCTTACTGCTATCTGAGTCTTTTAAATATAATGTGTTTTTTTATTTATTTCTTGTAAGATTTTTTTATTAAATTATTTATTTTCAACTTTAATGAGAAGCTAGTTTTTTACAATATATTTTATGTAAAAGAGTAAGATTAACTAAGCTTTTGTCGTCATATACAAAAAAACAGCAAGAACAAAAAAACAGCGAATCTGGGGATTTGTTTCTCCTGAAAGTTGTTACCACCTTTCAATATGAATCATATAAATGGAATTAAATTGATTTTGATACAGAAAAAGTAAATAGTTAAGTATAGCGGCAACGTTTTTTCAATATACTGCTATACTGAATATACTGCCAAAAGTGACCAGGTCAAAAAGATGAAACTAGACTATGCTTTTAAATTTTTTATTTCTCTCCTCCCCTATATACACTGCCCTACAATAATGAATGAAACACTTTCAGTTTTTGACATTTTTTTTTTTAATTTCTCAAATACTCAAAGGATTATTTTGTAACTTTAGAAGTGCGTAGTTTATGCATTTTTTCATATTTAGCAAAAAAGTTTAAAGCTTTCAGAGGTTTGAGGAACCGACAATAAATAATGAAAGAAAACAAGTTTTTTTAACACCCTATGCCAGGAAATCAAGCAATAAACTTGTAACTTGTATCGATTGCTTTGGTTTTTATTTGTAATTACTTCATAAAATTTTGTAATTATAACTTAAATATTTATAGAGATATGGACATTTCTATAAAAAAACTAAATTTTTTGGTCTTGTTTTTTTTGTTATAATTTTAAAAATATTCTCTAAAATTAAACAAAATTTTTAGAGCAATTTAATATTAAATAAAAAGAATTTGTTTTAAAATTTTGAAAAAAGTTAGCTTAAAACTACGCAAGATAAAGGTATTTAAAGTAGTTCTTTTTTTACAGTGCACACGGGGGGAAAAAATTTCATGATTTTGTAGTGAATCGTTTTTCGCAACTGATGAAAAAAGTTTTGTTTCAATATAGTAAAAACGTAAAAGGTTTCAAGCACTTTTCTATGTAGTTTTTGTATTCTTTTAAAGTAAATGATCAGAGGTTTTCTACTAATTGTGAAATTGCAAATGATACTACCTTATAAGCTGACAGCAAAAGAACAAAATAAAATTTTTGAAGCTTTATTCTAAAAAGTGCAAAACCACATAAAAAATTGCTCAAAACTTTTTACGTTTTTAAGATATTCAAATAAGACTTTTTTCATTAGTTGCCAAGTATGATTCACAACAAAATTATAAAAAAAAAGAATGTAATTTTTTTATGCATGCACAGTACAAAAGAACTACTTTAAATAAGGATTTCGATATCCATAAACCTTGTTCCTTTAGCAATTNGAGTGCAGTTCCATTTTCTCTCCTTTCTTTACAAAGATAAGGCAAGGTGACAGGAGAAAGATTGATTTTTCGGTGGTGAAATAGCTTAACAATATTTTTAGTTACGGATAAGGCAAAAAGTTTTATTTACATGCTTTAAAATTTGTGAAAAGTTGCATTTTTTTAGCTTGCAATTCATTTAGAAAAAGTAGTGTCCAGTTTGTAGAGATAAAAAACAACGTTTCATAACCAAAATGACTGTCCGCGTCCGGTTACAGGAGTGTCCGCATTGCGGAGAATGTACGTAATGGTTTATTCATAGAAGATTCCCGGGGAATTAAAAATATGTCCGTTATAGGAGGCGTCCGTTTTGCAGGAGTGTCCATAACAGGAGGTTTCACTGTACTTTAAATACTTGCGTAGTTTCAATCAAACTTTTTAAAATTTTAAAACAAAATTTTTTATCTTTAATTTTAAATTACTCCACAAATTTTGTTTCATTTTTCTGTACATTTTTAAAGTTATAGCAAAAGAACATAAGACAAGCTAGGTAAGAGAATGTAAGATAACTAGTTTTTTTATAAAAATGTCCATATCTCTATAAATATTTAGGCTAAGCTTTTGAAATTTTATGCAACAAATAAAAACCAAAGTAATGGATACATCGGCATAGAGTGGTTAAAAAAAACTTGTTTTCCTTCGTAATTTATTGTTGGCCTCTCAAACCTCTGAAAACTTTAAACCTTTTTGTAAAGTATGAAAAATTGCATGAACTAGACAACTGTAAAGTTACAAAATAATCTTCTGAGTATTTTTTTTTTTTGAGAAATTTAAAAAAATATCAGCTATATCATATTGTAGGGTAGTGTAGGTTAAGGTTTGCAAATAAGTGTAGTTGGACATTTGATTCAGCAATTATGTTTCTGTTGTAAGGCTCTAACTCAGCTATGAGACTGTAAACTTTTGCATTTAAAATTTTTTTTTGTTATATTATTTTTATTTTCATAAGTGTGTGCGTAATAACATGAATGTGATTTACCTGATTGTTTTTCTTAATGTAATGTACTTCAAAAAAGCTCCATTGCCTTGTTTTGTCTTTTCCTAAATGAATTTACCTTTGTGTAAGCTAACAAATGTTTTTTCTCCTGTAAAAACTGTAGTAAAAGTATAAATATAGATACCAAGTATGATATCTTAAGTTTTTTCATTGGGGAATATCCTTAGTATGGTGGCTTCATATCTGTACTATAGAAGTTGCATGTGTGCTCAATTTAGGACCCAGGCAATAAATGTTACTTATTAATAGTTGAAACAAAATGATGATGAAGTAAAATCCTGGTATTCTTAACAAAATCTATCCATACTATTTAATTTATTGTTTGAAAAAAATACATTCTTTAATTAAAATCTGTTTTCTATTATTTAAAAATCAATTTACTGAAATACATTTAAATTTTTGAGGAGAAATTATGATTCTAAGAAGCCAAGAAAAATTCTTCCATATTATTGTTACTTTGATTGATTTCATTTTTTAAATAAAATTTGGTTTAAAGTAAAGTTTGTAACTGGAAAAGAAAGCTGTACATAGAAAATTTTTACATTTTAATTATTTGAAGACTTTTTAAAGTTCTTAAAATTTAAAAAGAAATAATAAAATATTTCAAAAGGATAAGGAAATTAATTTGTAAATTGAAATGTTAAAGTAACTTATATTTACTATTAATGTCTTGAATACAGTACTTAACATACTGGCAACAAACTTAACATATTTTTGAAATTATCAAAATCCATATTATTATTTTGTCTTGTAAATGATAGCAGTTTACAATTGCAAAATATTTTTATCACATCTTTTAAGAAAAAAGAAATTTTTTTTCTGACTCCGAATATTTTTATACAATATATTTTTATTTATGAAAAATTTTGAATTATATTACTCAATAACTAATATAAATGCATATAGAAAAAAATAAATTTTTAAAAGAGCGAAAAAATACAAGAAATTAGATTATTTTAAATTATAAATAATTTGAAGTAAATTTAATATTTTCAATGTATATTTATTATAATATATAAATATTTTTTATGAAGTTATTTACAAGAATGACCTTATTTGTAAATATATATATACATACAAATATACTTGTGGCACTCGTAGAATAATGTGAGTATTGACTACTCTAAGCTAAATAATAAATGGACTGAAATTTAATAAAATCTTCGACTAAATCAAATTTTATCTTATTGCACTTTGATTTATCAAAAATGTACTGTTTACAATTTTTTTTTTTTAAATTCTTATATTAATGATTTTTAAAAAAATTTATGTATTTTGGAAATTATATGATGCAATAGCAATAAATCATTGATAATCTGAATTTTATGCTCAATGGCTTCTTGCTGGCTTTGGTCTTCCAATAAATATAAACAAAACTGGCATTTCATAGTTATTAAATTCAGCATTGATACATTTTATGTTCCTAATTTATAGTTTTTAAATTTAATTAAAATTTTATTGACTTCAATGGTTAACATGCTTGTTATTCTGTTTCCGATGAGAAATGCATATTTATCTTATAATTGTTTGATTTTATTCATTTTCTGCCTTATATTATTTTTAAATTTAGTAATAATTATTATTGTAAATTTTTATTTTACAAAATTATCTTAAATTAGTAGGTGCTGCTTTTGATTTCTCTGTTTTATAATAATAGCATTCATGTGTGATTTTATCTTGCAATTCAGCAGCAAATTTATAAAAATATAAATTTAAAGCTAATATGAATTTTGATTTATCTACAAAATTAAAACTTTATATTTCAATGATTTCATCATGTTGTAAACTGTTTCAAATATTTCCAGTTATAATAAATATACTATCCCTTCTATATATAAAAAAAAAAAAGATCTTGTCATCTTATTTTCTATATTTATTGTAATCTTGCATACAACTAAATTGATAAATGGCAAATTTTTAGAAATAAACTTGCAAAAAAGCATGTTATTTTATTTGTTATTAAAATATTTTATAAACTTTTTACTCTTAAAGATGCTCAAAAATTGTAAATTAATAAACATTGACAAAATAAAAACACTCCTATAAATTCTTTTAAATATAGTATTAATAGATTTTTTTTTAGATAGATTTCTGACTCTTTTGTTTCTATTTTTGAAAAACTTTATTTCTTCTTTAAGAAAATTGTTTAAAAAATAAAAAAATTTCAAACTAAACATTTGTTGATTTCAAACTTAACATTGCAAAATTATTAATTTTAAAATTTTGTTTGACTTAATTGGGAACTTTATTTAGAATTTTTATTATTTATAAACAATATCCTCTCCACACCAATTGATAAGAACATTCAGAGGATAAAGAAATGATATTTTGACTTCCAGAATAGTTTATTTTCTATTATGTGATTTTCAAAAAATATTTATTTTTGAAATCTAAATTGTGCTAGCTTCAAACTGAATAAATAACAGTGCTCAGTAGAAAACAGCAATGCAATTTACTGAATTTTAAAAAGGCACTGGTGACAAGAAAAATAGTAGCATTTCTACTGGGGTTAAGTTTTTATAAGACCTGAGAGGTAGTTCATATAAATACTGTGACTATAGACAGTATTTTGCTTTGTTTCTGGTACAAATGCTTAGAATGTATAATGCATACGACTAAATAAATATTTGCTTTAGTTATTAGAATTGTGGAAAAGAAATACTAATTACAATTTACACAATTTTGTGATAATCTCTTATTTGAGTCAAAAGTCGTGGAAATAAAACTAAATACTGATATTATACGAGTATGAAAATTTACAAAAATGAAATATGTCCAGAGGTCACATGAAAACAAAACCAGTAGCCGAAGTTAAGTAAACGCCATCCAATACACACCATCTCCCTTCCCACACATAGTGACGTCATTTTCGACCAATAGCATGATCAGGCCACTTTAGCTTGTCAAATTTTGGACGCCTAAATGTTAATTTTGTTTTTTGTTACAACTCGAGAACTTATTATATTAAGCCAGTGTTTCCCAAAGTGTGGTACGGGAACAGTTTAGCGGGGGTACGCGTTCTTATGCGAATATCTTACAACAAAAGAACATTTCAAAAATTTTTATTTAAAAACAAAGCTCTACATGAAAATGTATAATTAAGTATTTTTTTTCTATTGGCTATTTTTTGCTGAGTTAACAGTTAATATTTAGTGTTGTCATAAGCCAGATGTAATTTTTAACTTTCGTGCAATTTTTTTATAGTAAAAAATACATTTATTTTTTTATTAGGGTACACAGCGTTACGAAAAATCTAGACAGGATACACAAAAGTCATATGTTTGGGAAACACTGTATTAAGCTAATTGAAAAGTTTTTGCACACGACAAAATTCGTTTATCCAAAGATGATTCCACACAAAAAAAAACTTTTACTAAATATTTATTATTTCATTTAATAATAGTTGGAAAAAATATTTGGATAGTAAGGAATGAAACTTTTTGGATCGTAAGGAATGAAACATCATTTTAAACAGCATAATTAACAGGAAATTAAGTTTTAAAAACATGGCTTTTTTTAAAGGTAGATTTCTGAGGAACTATTTGATCGATGTCACTCTAATTTTGTATTTTGCCTTATAAAATTACATTCTTTATAATGATGTAAAAAATTGCATTTCTTCCAATTCAAAATTTTTTTTACTATTATAAAATAAAATATTTATTTTAAAAGTTAATTTTTACATGGAATTATCTTTGGATAAACAAATTTTATAATTGTATGCAAAAATTTTTCAATTCGCTTAAAAGGTTCTCGGTGTTCAGAAAAATAGGTAGAAAATAACATTAAGTGGTCAGAATTATTGAGACCATATTTCAAAAATCGCGGCTACCCCCTATATTTTGGGCAGTGGCGTAAATAACACCCTCACAACACCGAAGGGAAGAGGGGCTCACGAGGTTTGAGGGCGCATGATCCAGAAATAATACACACTAGAGGTGCACAACCCATAGCCCAGCAGCAGCAGCATCAGAGCCCAATAATAGCAATAAAAAACTATTGTAATTTTTTTTTTTGAAAAATAAAAAAAATTTAAACTACACATTTAAGTTTTGGAAGCACCTAATAAAAATCTATATTGTTTTCCGATAGTTTCTTTCGGTTCTACGAATTTCCATTCTTTTTAAAAAAAAATATCGACACTTTACAAGATTATTACAAAATGTGAATGCGGGTTTTTAAATTGCTTACTGCTTTTGAACTTAGTTTCGAATTTTTTGTAGCTTAAAATAATAATTAAGATTTAGCATTCATAAAATTCCCCATAATTCACTAAATATGTTCTAAAGTTAAAAATATACTGAACTGAATTCCAACTGAATGTTGAATCTTATTTAGAGCTATAACGCATTTGTTTTCTTTAAATCATTTTAAACCCTATACAATTTCTTTAATTAAAATATTTAATTTGCATTTATGTTACTCAGGAAAATATTTACAATTTTTTTTGCTTTAATTCAAGAACATATAAGTTAATTTTTTTTTAAATACAGTTTTCTGTTACATGATGTGATAAAAAGCCATAACTTTTACTCTTTTTTGAGGAAAAGTATCAGATTTGAATGAATTTAAATAATGTGATTTTATTCAAAATTAACTGATGAAAAGAATAGTCTGAAACACTAATGTTTATATAAAAATTATCATAATTGCTGAACATGTCAAAATACTTGGACAGACAGCCCTTCATTCAAATAGGTAAATTGCAATAAAAATATTTTTTTAATTCACTTTGCAAATAAAAATAACTCTTAGTTAAAATTTAAATATAATTATTGTAAGATAGTGAGTTTATTTTCTCATATTTTTAGGATTAATTTCATTTCAATGTGGTAAGTATGCAGGGGTCAGTCTAGACATTTTGTGAAAGGTCCGTTTTTGTAAAATTGTGGAAAAATTACTCGTAATTTGTGAATATAAAATAAGTGTTAAGTCACATTCTTTCAACCAGGGTCCAGTTTTTATGAATTTGTGCAAATAGGGTCCTGTTATTGCAAAAAACTTTTTCAAGGAGTTTTTAAATTGTAAAGACATACAAGATTATGCTCACAACACTCTAAAATTATAGTTTAAAAAAATTAATTTTAAAAAATAAACAGCAACTACTGCTTTTAAATTAGAGATGCAACATACAAATATTTGGTATTTAGCCTATACTGCTGCAGCAGAATATTCATTTTGGACGAATAAAGGAAGAAGCGCCTGCCGAAGACAAAACTTAGCTCGTTTACATCTGTCTTTCTCCCTTCCTGGAAAAGGTTTATTCGATTAATAAAACAATAATGAAGATAAATTTGTGAAGGGTCCGAATAAAAGATAAATTATTTTGTAAAAGGTTTGTTTTTAAGTTAAAATATTTTGTGAAGGGTTCGTTAATGGACCCCTGGTATGTCTACTGTTGTCAGTTTGCATACAAATTTTCAATGCTTCATTGTAATTCTTATTGTCTATTAAAATCAATACAATCTATTTTAGTCATTGTTTGTTACTTTGAGTCAAGTCTATGTCTGTTCTAAGAATAAAATCATGATTTAAATTGTCTATTTTAATTGTTTAAATATAATTATTGATATTTTCAGATAATTTGCAGATACATTCACAGAGATTCCTAAATTTTATGGATACTTTGAAAAATTTATTTATTTGTTAAAAAATAATTTTTTTTTTGTAAAATAAAAACAAAATTGCAATTGTAGGAGAATATTATTTGATATGAACTAATTTCTAAGAGAAATAATTGTTTCCTTCTATTCTTTGTTAAACAAATGTTTGATATTTTTAGCAGTTAGCGTTTTTGTTGTCATAAAGGAATGTAACGAGCTAGAAAATACTTTTGGATAGTATGTGGAGATTTATTTTTTTTAATCTTACACTGATAACATCCTGTTAGAAAATGTATACATGTATATATATAGAAGTAACAAACATTTTTATACTTAGGATACATTTCATCAATTTGAAATATAAAAAAATAAGAAATTAATAAAATTCAAGAACAAAGACACAGAGCCATATAAAGAGTCACATTTTATACGAACATCAACAAGACAAAAAATTATCACAAGTTAAAACATGTCACTTTATAAATATTTATAAATTACAAAAAAGATGAACATGCTTGTAAAAATTTCAATTATGAAGTAAATATTCATTTTAGGCAGCTTTTAAATGTAATACTATTCAGTTAATATACAAATAGATCTCTCAATAATTTAAAAAGACATCATTTCAGTCCTGTACGATGTATAAGTGCACAGGTGGTTATATCATAATGAGCAGGAAGCTTAGCACCAATCCTAGAAAGAAATCTATTTCGAATGTAAAAGTCAGATTTTGGTTGCAGCAAGTCGTGAGGCGTGACGTCAGCCATCGATCCAGATGCTAAAAGTCTCTGGCTCTCGAGTAACTCCGCTTGTCTGAGTTCATCCTCTTTAGCGATTCTCTCTTTTATGGATAAGTTTAATCTTCCACCCCTGTTGGCATTCAACACATACAATACCACAGTTGCAACAATAGACACAATCACAAAGTACGCAAAAAATATTTCTAAGAAAACGTAGCCTTTATAATCAACAATAGCTCCAGCAGCTATGGCCACAACGGCCAGGCCAAGATTTTGTACCGACTGCATAATTCCATAGGCAGTTCCCAGCTGATGTTGTGGCACCTCCAAAGCAACCATTGGCCAAAGTCCACAGGCCAAAAGAGAATAGGTCAGACCGATTATGACCATCGGTATCCACGGGTTGATGAAGGTGAAACCCAACATGAGATGACAGACGAGTGTCAGGACTACAGAAATAAACACCCACGTCAGATTACGGCCAGTTTTATCGACTAACAAACCCAATAGAGGCGAAGCCACTGCAGAAATTAAGTATACGACGCTGTCGACGGAATTGGCAGTCTCGGGATCGAGATCGTATTTCCTCGCAAAAAACACACTTCCGAGACCGATGAAAGGGAATATGGCAGAATAATAAGCGACACATATAATTGTGATAACCCAAAATGTAAGGGGGAAGTCCTTGATATCTCGTAATTGTACAACTTCTCCAGTTTTGCCAGCAGCCTTATTGAGAATTCTTTCTGCACGCCAATCAAAGAAACCCATAATGAAAGCGCAGATCAACGACAAGACACAAGTCGAAGCACCGATGAATAAAGTGGCGCCCAAAACCTCGTAACCAGACGAATAGTGTTTAGCCATTTCCTTGTATATGGCAGGTGTTACGTTGAAATTGACGGCACTACCGACCCTGGCAAAGCTAAGCTGCATTCCAAACACCATATTTAATTCTTTGCCTTTAAACCAACTAACTGCATATGTATTCTGAGCAACTGCAAGAGATTCGCCACCAATGCCAAAGATGAATCTTCCCATTTCCATCAGCCAGTATCTGTCGACAGTAGCACCCAAGGCAAAGACAAGTTGACCCACCAGAATAAATATACTGAATATGATAGCGCCTAACCTAATACCAAAAACTTTGTCGATCAGAAAGCCGCCGAAAAAACATAATATAACATTGGGCCACGAATACCAAGCGTACAAATTGGTATATTGGAAGGTAGATACTTTCATATCACGCATTATTTGATCTTGTAAAGCACCAGGAATGTCATAGCAGAAGTAACTTCCGAAGCCAAGAAAACACATGAATATTAAGGCGAAGTATCTGTGAGCCCCTCTCCGGGGATTGCAAAGAGCGAAAAGAAAACAGCCATTAGTTTGATTGTCAGCTGTTGATTGAGTTTCGCTGACACTAGGGTCGCGAGATATTACTTCATTTTCTGATTCCTCCATATTTTCTAAGGAATTGAAAATTTAAGTAGATAAGAAATCAGCACACCTCCTCGGTGATTAGTGGCATTTCAAAGAGATATTAGCACGGCCTGAGTTCAAAAGTTATGATATTTGAAAAGAATTTAAAAATATACAATTTAAATTAAGTGATAAATTACTTTGCGGCTTGTTCATTCTTAACAATAAACGATTAGAAATTAATAAACAAAAGCATATGCTTATTTGTCAGGTAGTGTATAGCGTGAGGATGCCTGTGAATCCTCAGGAAACAGGATGACCCTTCCAGGCATGTTTTCAAGCATGCGCAGTATACTANAAGTAATTTTATATCGACTATACCGTGAAGTAAATCGTTATCGAATTCACAAAAATAACGATGAAATATCGTATATAATTAGTGTATCGATTAATCATATTTATATCAAAGAGTTGAGCTGTGTCTACCTTTCCTCCGCTAAAATATTTTATAAAATCGTTAAAATAATTTATGATCAAATGGAATCGAAATTATTTTTTAGATAATTAGTCAAAATTTTAAATAAAAATTGATAATTTACAGACGTTTGCTGAATTCTTTTGCGAGATAATAAAAAAATTTGATTTTTGATGTAAGTAAATAAGGCTTAATTGCTATATTTTATTAGCTTTATGGGGATTAATCAACAAACAAAATGTTTTAAATTTAATTTTGATTTATAAAACATGACAGTGATGCGAAATTTCACTTAACTGAGATAGGTTTTGAGGCTTTCTTTTTCTTTAAAGCACATTATTTATGTTAGTGAGTAGTTTGGGTTTGAGATGTCAAAATTTTAATGGTGTAAAACAGTCTTATAAGTTTATCTAATGGTAATTATTTAGTTACCGATGTCCTATTTCTTGTGTCATTACTTCCAGAGCTATTAAAAAAATGACTTCTGTTGAATATGATTTGGATACTTCTGGTGGTTTAATGCCGGTAAGTGAAATAGAATCTTAAAATTCAAAAAACATTTTTCCTAAAATGGCATCTTCTGACAGAAAGCTAAAGATCCTTATGCTAATACAGCTATATTTACTTACATGAATTGGGGTAGCTTTAATTGTTAATACTCATAATCATTTATTTGTCTAGCAAATTCAGGAACTTATTAAACCTCCTATACTTGAAGAATCTTCTAAGAAAAAGAAGGATCGAGAGCGAAGATATCGTAAACCTGGCAGAACAATTAACCACGATTCCTGCGATAGCTGTAAAGAAGGCGGGGATTTAATATGTTGTGATCGATGTCCTGCTGCTTTCCATTTAACATGCCAGTAAGATCATTTTGTTATTCTTCAATCTGCAATTGTTGAAATTATATGATATGTGAATAGCGTTATGTTTTTCCTGTGACATTTGATATGTCAAGTTGTACGTAGTTAAGCGTTTTCTGTTCGAATATTTAAACCCTCTTGTCTTGTTTATGAATTATAATATAGTTGGATGACTTATTAGTTTTATAATTCTTTTTATATTGTACAATTAATTTTTTTAGCAATTCAAAAATGATTTATGAAATAAAACTTTTTGCATGAAAACAGTAAATTTAGCATTTGAAACTTATTGTCAAATTTAATTTTAATCCAGTGAACTTAATTCAAATTTTTTTTTAGTATTTTCTCATTAACTCTGTAGTTAAGTGTAATATATGCTGCTTTATCAATGTTCTTGTCCTGTTAATGAATTAAAATTTTAATGATAAATTATCTAAAATAATTTTCATTCTACAGTTTATTTTTTTCTACAATTATTTTAAAAATAGTTCTGTCCGAAATTTATGTATTAAAAAAAAAAACTATTTTATAATTATGAATTTGTATCAGAACAATAAATTTAGTTACTTGTCTTATTGTGTGTTAAAAGGATACCTCTATATAGTGTTTTTCGGTATCATATTCCATTCAGAGGTTTAGACTGGTGTTTTTTTTTTAGTTGGACCACTGCCATAAAGTTGCCAAACCTTGGCGATTATTTTGCTGTAGATCGAAACATGGAAGCCCTGTGGCAGAATTTTTTTGAGCTATCTGCGACAAAAGTCTCTAGCACATCTTTCTGCAAGATACTTTTAATAATAACAAGCATATATATTACTAATTTAAAATTACAAAAGCGCTGTGTTTACAAAAGAAAAAACTATACATGTTTTTTTTTTTAATTGGACGTGTAATAATTTTTTTATTCTATTCTGGCCTTCTGGTGGAGGGTCACTTAAATTATTTCCTTCGCCCTTTATAAATAATCATCGCAATAAAAAATAAATTAAAAATCATGAAATCACTAGTAGTAAGAAGAAAGATAGACGACGAAATCCCGAGAATCGGACGCCTCAAATGCGCGCTTCATTTCTAGATTAGGTTGTAATAATAAATAATATTGTATAAGAAATATTGGATTTAGAAACTATGGAGAAATCAAGAGCAATAACTGAGAAAATTCGATATAATTATTGCCTTAGAAAGAAAGCACTCAAACGCACGATTTGAGTTTTCCAGATTGTTTGAAATATATCAGGATATTTATGAACTATGTGGAAATCAATATCAATAATTGCTGAAAATAAAATCGAAACATTGCATCAATTTACGATACTATCAGCGTAAATTGAGTGTGTTAAAAAGCGATTATCTAAATGCAAGATTCAAATATTACAAGTAAACTTCTGTCAAAAAAAAAACAATTNAATTAAATATATTTTTTTTTTTTACTTTTCAAAAGAAAAATTGTTTTGCAAGAACTCTATCGTTCTGTGACAATGTCGTTGTGACGCTTCGATTCTGCCACATGGAAGTATTCCCAGTATTAATGTAATAAATCTAATTCATCACAAATTCATTCATTAATTCGTAGACCAGCATATTTTAATTTAGATGTTAATCATTTAAAAAAATAATCTTTTATTTTTAGAACTGCTTTTGGCAGATGGTACTAAATAATTTGAACAAGGCTCTTTGTAATACAAAGAGAAGTTTAAAATAAAAGAATCTGGTCAACTTATATAAATCGGGGAAAGATTTCTGAGTCTGTAACTACGTAAAATAATCGCAAAGTTTTGACTTCCAGGTAGTACTTTTTGAGAAACTAAAAAGAGAAAGTAACATTATAAAAAGGAACCAATTTGAAAAGGATAATTGCTTTTACTGGCTAGAGGAAAAATCACTACAAATTTGTTTATAAAATTTTGTAATTTAATAATCCCTTTGGTGGCTTAGCTAAGATTGTCATTGTGATTTTAATACTGAAAAAAATACAGTTTTGTAACAATTATGTCAAATGGCCCGTTTTAATGCATTTTAATAAATCAACCAATCAGTTATTTACCATTTTTACATGATTTTTTAGTCTGGTAGTTTTGATTCAAACCGTGACTTCCGGTATGAGTTATTGTTGGAAATCTGATCGATAATAACGTCAAATAAGCAGAATCTCTGCTAGTTGTTTATCTCTAAGCATCTGTAAAGAACATCAGGATTTGTTTTAATAAATAAGAAAATTCTTAGCGATATCCGTCGAAAGAACGATTGAAACACCACATGGATCAACAAGGATTATTGGCGCAGACAGTGTGTGTCAAAGAGTGATTTTGTTGGAAATAGTGTGACTAAACAGAACCATTTATTATGCTTTTTCCTCACCTGTCATGAGAAATGAAATTTACGTTCAAGTTTGTTACTTTTTCTAGAGGAGTAACATACCTTTTTATATTACTCTTTAAATATTTATATATTTATTTTAAAGAGTAGATTATGCACAACTAAACTTGTTACTGCAACCTTATTATGTATAAATACTTCGGATGTTATGTTGTCAGTGCGGATGCTATTATTATTATTTATTGAGTTAATCAGCGGTATGTTTGCTTGTTTATTTCGATTTGAGATCTTCTAACATTTTCTATTGAAACCCGATGGCATGCGGGATATGCTTCTTTTGAATACAATTCTGGAGGAAAAAACTCTGTAGAATAGACACAAGTGTTTTATACCTCAAGGAAAAAATCTTTCTGCAAGAATTCTGTGACAATTTCACAGCCATTCAACCACGGGGTTGAAAACTATGTAAATCTGTTGTGATAAGTGAAGTGATTGATACAAATGCAATCGAGAATCACCTGGGATTGTTAATAATTAACTGAAATCAATTGTTTATTGCTTAAAATAAGATTAGATTAAAAATCTATTATTGAGTTTCAATATAGATCCATAGTTAATGTGTTATGTTTTGTATATTTAAAGGAGAGAATTTATATACTAAGGAAAAAGTAGCTCAATACCATTGTTTAGTAAATTATACAATTTGCAACAGCTGCTATATATATACTGCAATTTTACAATTGTCAGTGCACAAACAAGCACTTTACAAAAATTATTGAGATATGTTTGTCATTTTGTGTTACTATTGTTTGATAAGAATAAAAAATAAACTAGGGAGTTTATTGAAATAAGAATTGGGAAATTATGAAGATTTAATTGTATGAAAATAGTTATAATAAAATGTGAATACCATTCATTGTATATAATTTTCTACACTGCATAAAGCTAAATAGTTGACACATTTTTTAATGATAAAATTTTTATTTCATTTTAAATGATTTTTTTTCTTTGGAGTTTTAATATTTAATTACACATTTTGATCTTTGGAGGTATAGTCTTATACTCTTTCTCTCTTTTTACATGATATAACAGTGATCCACCTTTGTCAGAAGATGATTTACCATCTGGAGAATGGTTGTGTCACAGTTGCAAGACTACTCCTGATGTAAGTAATTGAGTTCTCTTTCTTTTCTTTAAATTTTCCTTTCTTTTTATTCTTTTTTTTTTTTAAATTTATTTCTAGTAACTCATTTATTGTTGAAAATTGCACTGATTAATTTAAGTTAATAGCACAATTATTTTATTTTAATTTTATTTCCTTCAGTTTAATAAGAATTTTTTTTATTTTTATGTAGTTTAGTTATATAGTCAAAATTCGCATGATATTTGACTCCAGAGGCAAGCTGATGACATTCTAGCCCTGCTCTATTTCTAGTCCCTGTGGCCAAACTTTTTCGGGCTTTCTACGACGTACCTATCTACTAATATCTTTCTGCAAGATATTTAAAAATAACAAATATACATGTTACTAATTTTAATTAATCGGAAAATTAACTTCAAAAAAAAATTTAATTGATCAAATAGAATAAATTTTTAATTGAATTTGTGATTTTTTTTTTATTCTAATATTATGGGCAATATTTTCACATTTTGTAGAAAGAAAGATAACACACTAATTATTTCCTTTTTCGCATTTTGTAATTCATCATCACATTTTTAGAAAATCATCAAGTCTGCAGTAGTAACTGCCGAAAAAATCTATGACAAAATCCCGCTAATCGGACGCTTCAAAAAGGGGTTAAAATGAGTGTTTTCATTTCGGGATATAGTTGATGTGATAAATAATATCGGATTTTAAAAGCTATGTGGAAATCAGTACTAAACACACAAAAAATTCAAACGAAAATTTCCGCAGAAAGGAAAATTAAATTATTAAGGCACTTTAATGTATTTTTATTTATTTCCTCTAGAAATTTGTAAACATATACATTTCAGTTATCGTGCTTATGAATGTTCACTTGCTTGATATTTCGATTTCCAATCAATTTTTCTTACGCGAAAATAAAGTTTCATAGATTTTTTATAACACTAATGTTTTATGTAATAAAAATTATACAATTTTTGATGTATAGAGAAATTTTTAAAAAATAAATAATCATTCTGATTGAAATATTTCTTATAGGTTGATCCAGCTTCATCGAGTGGTCAATTTTCAGAGTCAGTTGTGAATGGGTCTTCATTAACGAAAGATTCAGTTTCTTCGGATCTAGAGAACATGGAAGTTGATGATGAGTCAAAAACTCCTCTCTTTACTTTAATACAATCTCTCTCTACACAGAACCCTACTCAATATCAATTACCATCTGAATTCTTGTGCACAGTGCAGTTACCTGGTAAAGTTTGCTTTTCAGATTGTCTTGACAATCTTTGTTCTGCTTACACCATTAATTTTTTACTCTATAAGTACATAAATAATAACTTAGAATCTAGTTCCTCTAATGTCCTATAAATTTAATACTACTAATCATGATTTCCAAGAAAATAAATTGATTATGAAAAAAGTTAGTAGACAATTATAAATAGAAAATTTTATTATTTATAAGAAACAGCTTATAAAGCTTTTATTTTATAGTCTTCTCCAAATCGTTTTAAGAATTTTAATTCAAAATTTCTCTTGCTCTCCGAATTACACTTACTGCTTTTCTGATTTCATTGAACCACCTTCTTTGGAATCATTTGATTTCACTAACATACTGATCCAAAATGTCTCAAGTCTAAGTGTGTATGTCTGTGTCATTGTACTTATAATTACTGATAGCTAGTTTTCAAAGTTAGAGTACAACTGCTTTAAGCCTTATAGATTTCTTGAAAAGACTAGCCCACATGCATTGGTGGCGATTCTAAAATTTTGCGTATATTTTTTGTAGTATTGAAAATTCTGTGCACACAAAGAAAATAGTTTGCAGTGTGGGAGGGGATACAAAGTAGGTGACATAATCATGATTTATGAAAGTTACAAGAAATTGTTTAATTGTATGCACGTTGCTCCCAATGAGAAAAAGATATAACTGCGATTTTAGCCCAAATATTAGCCATTCCACAGTTAACGGTCAAGCATACAATCATCTAGATTTTTACAACTTTACTCAACGTGGCCATCGCTTTCAAACGAAAATAAACAATTGCAGTGACAGTAGGAAATCTTTTAATGAAATTTCGTTTGGAGCGAAATTACTAATATTACTTCATATACTAATTACTTTATATGCAGTACTTAAATTTCCTATTTATGTATAGCTATTAATATTTATTATTCTCTAATGTGTTTAATGTTAATGTGCATATATATAGATATTTTTTGCCAAGAATAAATAAAAAAAATTTAATAGTTAACTGTTTTCATATAATTAATAAAAATGATTCTATTTTCAAAGAATATGTGCTTGTAGATAATTTTAGATTGTGTGTGCTGATACTTTATGTTTTTACCTTTCTATGACCCTACTTATAGTTGTAATTAGTACAGTAACTCTTGTTGTAATAAAATTGTTATGCTACTTTTGCTTTATTTTTTCACTTAACCCTCTTCTAACTACTTCTATAAATTACTTCTTTCTGCGTCATGAATGATAAATTCTTTATTTGTAGGTTCAAGCAAGAAATCGAAATCTAAAGATGGTAATAGGTTTGGTCGGAGAGGAACTCATGAACTTGACTCTGGAATCGTTCATATACCAGCTAAACTTTGTAACCTGTGCAAAAAGTGTGTTGAACTAAAATTTCTTTTTAATTAGTGTGTTTATTCTTCAAAATTTCTCCTTTTGAAAGTATGTTTCAAGTCCCGCTTAAGTAAAAAAAAAATCTTCTTAAAAAAATTACCGATATTCTGTGTGAAAAGATATCTTTTTCAAACTAGCCTAATTTAGAAACCCTTATCACCATTTGCCTTGCCTAGATATGGGTGAAGTGTCAGTTTTTAATGTTAAAGAAAATTCCTCCAAATTTCAGTTCTTTAAACCTTAACCTGGGGTAACTCAGTGTGAAATAATTGTTAAGTTAAGGGTTTCAACTGTAATTCCATTAGACATTTTTTGCTAAAAGTGATTCCTTATTTAAAACTAAATAAATTTAAATTTTTCAGTGGCAGCAATCTAAACTGAAATCAATATAATTGTTTTAAATTTGTCATTTTCTTGCGTATTTTTTTCCCTAGTAGGAAAATATCCTTTTTTTCTTTATTTATTATTTTTTTTTTCATTTAATTTTGCCCTGCTGGCTTTTTTTTCCCCACCCCTTAATGTTTTTAAAATTTTATTCTAATTGTGATTAAAAGCTATTATAATTGGTGTTATTGTAATTGGTTTCCTTTCTTGTAGGAGTTGTCGTAAAGCACCTCTCATCCAGTGTGACTATTGTCCCCTATTGCTCCATATTGATTGTGTGGATCCACCACTCACAAGTCTGCCCACTGGAAGATGGATGTGTCCCAATCATGCTGAACATTTTGCTGTAAGTATTTTTTCTTAATTTTTGTGATGTGATTGTTACTCTACTACAGTTTGTGATTTTTTAAAATACTTTGAAAATCTTTAATTCATTATGAGTTAAATTTTATAATTCAAATAAACCGCAATTGAAATTGGTAGGATTTTCATTATTACCATCATGTTTTTTGTAAAGAAGTCTATATTTAACTAATTTTTGCAGGCGTACTAGTGTTCACAAAGTACAAGAAAATAATTTTAACATTTCATTTTCTAAAGGCTGCTATTTATTACACCAAGTACAAATTTAATTATGCTAGGTGAAAGCTGGTAACAATTATTAAAATGAAAATCAGTTTAAAAAAATCAAAGAATTCTGTGCTCCAGTGTTATTTATTTTTTTTTATAATGGAAGATAACTTTTCCATCTCTCTGGCGAGTATTGTATTCTAAAGGTATGCACTCAAGAATAGCGTTTAAAGGGATGGTTCAGTTCTCTTGGTTGCAGTTAACTGACAAAGTTTCTAGTGGTAACTCCATTTTAATTTTTTTATACTATGAGAATTATGCTGCGATGAATGAAAAAATGTTGGCATTTGAAAATTCTGTAACTGCAACCCTAAGATCTGTGTAATTTTTGTAACAGAATTAACTGAACTGAGGTAGACAGATATATTCATTTGTTATTTTATACTGACCTTGTTTATATAGGTTATTGTAGTAGTAAGCTTTGCTTTAATTATTTTTAACTGCTTTATGGATTATACCTTACATTATTTTTATGAAATTCTGGAGGTTAGTAATATACGTAATTTATAATTTATCACACTTTTATTTATTTTATTTTCTTATAGGACTCAAAAATACTCACATCTGTTAGTTTGACTGAAAGAGTAAAGTTATGGGATAAATTTGCTGGTCCTATATCACAAGATGCCATCAAATTGCATTTTCTTAACAAGATAAATAAAAGGAATCCACCTTTCAGGCGCAAACAAAAGGAACCTCCACGTCCAAAATTGTTTGTAAGTATTCTACTAATAATATATGCTTTCATCTTTATTCAACAGATCATATCTTCAAGTTTCTAACAAGTATTCACTTTTTGTTTAGAAAAAAAGTTTACTGTATCCGTTTATTGGTTGCTAATTAAAAAATATAAATGAGCTAATTATCTTTGTGTGGGATAAAAGACCACTCAAATGAAATATGAGTTTAAAATGTTAATTAAAATCAGTCCTTGCATTCGGAAAATAATTTTCTGAAAAACGTTTTGAAAAATTGCAGGCTATATTAAAGAGTTTCTTTAAAATTTATTTTCTTAAACTGTAAATTATAAATAAACTGTAACTAATTATCTTTATGTGGTATAAAAGACCATCCAAAATAAATATGAATTTAAAATATTAATTAAATTCAGCCTGCATTCGGAAAATAATTTTCTGAGAAGTTCTTCGATATTTATTTTCAACAATAATATTTTCAATCTTACACTGTGTAATATATATTTTTAGGTTCCAGTAGCAATAAGAAACAATTATGAGTCTCCTTTACCTCTTTTGCCTCGAGTAACTGATGTACCAATTACCAGCGAAGTATCAATTTCAAGTTCTTCCTCCTCTGCAATGGAGTTGGACGATGAATCAAATAAGGTATTGTAGTCTTCAACAATATGATTAGTTTCAACTTTTTTAGCAAAACAGTTCAAGTAAATAAAAATTCTACTAATAAATGGGTATTTTTTAAGTGTGTTTTTCCTGAAAATCATTAACCCTCCACGTACGGCTCCCGCGATTTGAGTGGGGTATCTGTTTCGTCCCCCACTACGGGTCACGTGAAAATCCCGGGCGAAGAAATTTTTCCCCTGATTTCAATGCGGATCCCGCCATTTCCCCGCGTACGACCATCATCCAAAACCATCATCTGATGCTTATTTTGGCTACTAGGTGGCACTAGAGGGTTCGGGAATTTCGCAAATTATATAGAAAAATTCGTTGAAGGAACGTTGCATTTCATATCATGCTTATAATTTTTGATATTTAGTGGTGAAAAAATTACTTAAAATTAAAAATACTAAACTAAAAGTAACTTAAAAATTGCCCCATATTTCAGGACCGGAAAGTATAAAAACTGAGCCGAACGCGGAGGGTTAAAAGGCTTATTAAATAGTCTGCTAGGAAAAATATGGTTTTGAAAGGGGGGCTTCATTTCTAATTTGAGTTGTGGTTGGGATGAAATTATAATTTAAAACTAGTCTGAGAGTATAAAACTGACTCGTTAATTGCTTCAGAAAAGTAAAAGGAGCCATTCAATTATTTCGTTGGCAGCTAACGGTGAAAGGAGCTTGTGATTGGCTGGCGAGGGAGGAGGAATATGAGAAATGCTTATGCAAAACGTTAAAATCCCCATGTTTGTAATTATTTTTTTTTAAAAGATGCAGAATAAGAAATGTCGGGAAAAATTTCCTTCATAAAATTTGAAATAAAAGATGAATTCAGGAAAAGAAAAGAAATTCTTCGGGGGGTTCTAGAGGTCAAGAGTTTCAAACTGAAAAAGAAAATACAAAGGATTCTGATAGAATTCCAAATCTTATAAATTCTATTCAAATGTTAAAACATGAATTGAAACTTACATTTTGTTTATTCAAAGTCGCATATTTTATTTCAGTTTAACCCTCAAATTAGATCACTACAGTAAGAGTGGAATAAAAAACTAGGGGGGGGTCGCATGGGTGGAAGAGGAGGGTCGCAAATTGTCAAAAAATATGCTTACATAAATGTTTGATTGGTTCCTGATTGCTATTCTGAAATACTTTTAAGTTTTTATGTTATCGATTATTTTCTTTGAAATTTACAGTAAAATTTCATGTATCGATTTCTAATATGTTATTATTTTTTTCAGTACTTCAGATTTCTTCTTAATTTCCAAACTGATTTAGCCACTTTGCAATCTTCTGAAATCACCAACACTAAACCATCACCCTCAGACATGGACTGTGAATCACTCATTTCCGAAATGAAACTGACTGGCCATTATAGCCAGCCTCGCAGAGTAATGAACGGGCCACACTGCGAAACGAATGGGGAGGCTGACAGCTCTAATAACAATGCCAAACTGAAATTCGACTGTCACCTTCCTACGTCTGTGTGTGTGTCTAGCTCATCTCACTCCCTCATGTCATCAAAATTGTCTGCATCTTCCAAATTGAACAATGTCAGCCGAACGAGCAAGATGAATTCTGGAAAAAATTCTTGCTTACTGAATCAGTGCTCAGCTCCTATAAATGTGTTTCAGTGTAAATCATCTAGTGGCTTAAACTCTTCTTACAGCAGTACAAACTCTAAAGAGAATTCTCTAAAGCCTTGTTGTCAAGGTAAAAGTTTAATTTATTTTTTTTAAATAGTGTGAGTAGTTTGTCTACGGCAGTGTTTCCCGAAGTGTGGTACGGTATGGGAACAGTTTAGCTGGGGGAAACGTTCTTTTGCAAAATATCTTGCAACAAAGGAAATCAAAAAATTTTATTTAAAAACAAAGCTAGCCATGAAAATTTACGATTACGAATATTTCTTATGGCTATATTTTGCAGAGTTAACAGTTAATAATTAGTGGTGTCAGCAGCCAGTTGTGATTTTTAACTTTTGTGCAATTTTTTTATAGTAGAAAATACATTCATTTTTTTATTAGTGGTACACAGCATTACGAAAAATTTAGAAAGGGTACACATAAGTCATAAGTTTGGGAAGCACTGGTCTACGGTAAGAACTCCCCCCACCATGAAGTCTAAGACTACTGCTACTACGGAAACAAGAATGGCACATTTCAGGGAGGGTAGCTTCTTTTCACTCTAGGGTTAACGCAATAGACCATATAAAAAGATTATCTTTCTTTCTCCTGCACGAGCGAAAACCTGTCCTAAATAGTGACCCCACACCCCTACTTAAAATTAATGATCCAGACAAATAGCTAGGTGAGTTCCTATTTTAGACAAACTATATGAGTCGTTTTTACTTTTATGTGTTAACTGCAGGGTATCCGCGCACCTGGAAAGTCATGAATTTCGGTATTGAACAACATTTGTCATGAATTGTCACGATTTTAACTATTTTTTCAGGAAAGTCATGGATTTAGGTCGTTAAAAAATCTAATTTTTAAAATGGAATCAGGGAATTTTATTTAAACTCCAAAAATCAGGGAAAGTTGCAATTTTCTTACAAAAGCCTGGAAAATTCCTTCGTTATTCCTGGAATAAAACCAGTCTTAAAATTGTCAGTAACAATATTCAGTTATTGAGATTCGAGTTAAATAATTCTAACATCTATTACAATTATTTATGGTAAAAATTATACATTTTAGGCATACTGAAATGCTTCCTTCCTCATATAATATTTATTTTACACAAAAAATCTAATACTTAGCATAACAAATAAAAGAATCCAAATTTTCTGATGGAAAATTTCATAGTATAGATGAAATATGTTATGGATTTTAATTGAAATTTACCTGGAAAAGTCAGGGAATTTTTTCTCTAAAATTGAGTGGGAACCCTGTGGAATCTAACCCCCCCCCTCCCCATTTCATGGTGTTCTGAATTTGTAATGAAATCCCCACTCACAGTCATATTTATAAAAATATAAAATGTTTTTATCATGTTCTTTAAAAGTTATGATGTTCTTTCAAAAAATGAAAGAGAAAACATCATTTCTAGAGCGAATTATCTTTTAAATTTCTGTGATTTTAGAATTTTTGTTATTACTTTTTATTTTATCAATTTAAAATTCTAGCTGAGCCAGTCATTGGCGAATTTTTTTTAATTCTGAAATGAGAACAGAAAAATCAGGAGTATTTCTTTCCTTTCAGATGAACAAGAAAAGTATTTAGAATATAATTCTGCAAAAAAAAAAAGTATTTTTTTTCAGCTATTTTATTACTTCAACTCTTTCTTTTACACTGTGTTTTTAAATTTAAAATCTTTAAATATGAAGATGCAGAGTATAACAGGTTATACCTATCATTTCAATTTATGTTATTATAATGCGTTTTTGAATTTCTTGTTGCATTTTTTTTTTCTTGAAAAAATAGTAACTTTGTTAAGTCATGAAAAATTGTAGAAATTAGTCATGAATTTAAAAATCTAAAATGTAGCAGATAACCCTGTAACTGGTAAGAATTAAAAATTTAGGCATGGAATTAATAAATTAGAAATCTTTTAAGTGTAGACATAAATAGGTAGTATTTGGTCTAATTCAATAACGAAAAATTGCTTCAATTCAATAACGAAAACAATATTTTTAATAAGTTATTATTTATTACAATAAGCGATTCTCGAAGCACGCAGAGATTCGGATTCAAGTAACCCATTTTTAAAGTCCTATTCATGTGATTTCATCATTGATCTAAATTTTTGGTAGTTACTGTCATAAATTTTATGATTTTAATTTTTTTTTTTAATGGGATAACAATTTACAAAATGCAAAAAAAAAAAAAAAAAAAAAAAAAAANATAAATAGTGGAATCTACCAAATTAAAGAAATCTACTTACCATCATATCACTGAATTCTCCCAAAAAAATTTCATAGAAGAGCTCTTTTTGAAAAGCTGCTAAAATAATTTTTTTTTTTTTAATTTTTGGACTAAAACTACAATTAGGGTGCATTTTGAAATTTGACTCAATTTTTTAAAAAAAAAAAAGTCCTAGTTACGGATGTTAGCTCATATGTTAAGCAGGGGTCTGTCTAGGTTTTTCTGAGAGGTACCTATTTTGTGAAAATTTAGACATAATTTGTGAAAAATTAAAAATTATATTAAAAAATCAACACAAAAATATGGATTTATCGTTTCTTAAGGGATACAAAATTAAAATTTTAAGAAAAAGTATTTTGTGAAACTACCGTTTTTCCTAAAATTGAATTTGTGAAACTACCGTTTTTCCTAAAGTTGAATTTGTGAAGGTACCGCTAAACGGTAGTAAATTCGGCCTGGACAGACCCCTGA